AGTTTGGTTAGATTTGGACGTCGTTTGACGCGTTTTGGACTAAAAACTCTAAACTTGAGGTCTTATGAAAAATTGGAAGGAAATCATGGGTCTTGAGGCCTAATTTGATGATTACGACGTTGTTTTGGCGATTGGATCGCACGGATGAGCCCATAGGATGTTTTTGAGTTAGTGTGTGTGCTTGGTTTGGAGCCCGAGGGCTCGGGTGAGTTTTGAGTAGGTCCTGGGAGACCTTAGGCTTGAAGTATCAGATGTTGCAGTGTTGCAGGCCCCAGCGCGGCCGCGGTCATTTCCGCGCGGTCTTCGCTGGAAGCCACGCGGCCGCGGTGCAGTCCGCGCGGTCCGCGTGGCCAGGTTTAGAGAGGTCCTCGGCCTTGGTTTGACCAGTGCGGCCGCGCACCAAGTTCGTGTGGCCCGCACTGGGAGATTCAGAGAACGCTCAAGGTGTAAGACACCAGCGCGGTCGCGCACCGAAATCGTGCGGTCCGCGCTGGGTAGGTTCAGAGAGTCATTTTTCTTCCCTTCCTCGGCGCGGCCGCGGTGCATTTTTGTGCGGTCCGTGCCACTCTTCAGCACAGTATATAAAGTCGGGATTTTCAGTCATTTTTCACTTTTTCAAAACCCAAAACATAAGAGGCGATTTTCCAAACGATTCTACTTCTTCAAAACGATTGGTAAGTGTTTTCTAACTGATTTTCTTTACTCCTTAACATCCTTAAACATAATTTCAACTTCAAAACAAAGATTTTAATGGGAAAATTGGGAATTTAGGGTAGAACCTAGGTTTTCTAAAATTGGGGGTTTTGGACCTCAATTCGGGGTCCGATTCCAAAATAACTTACATATTTGAGTTCATAGGGGAATGGGTAAACGGGTTTTAGTTCGAACCTCGGGTTTTGACCATGTGGGCCCGGGGGCATTTTTGACCTTTTGGGGTAAATTGATGAAAAAGCTATAATTAGTCATTGGGTTTGATTTGTTTAGCACATATTGATATCATGAAGTCCTTATTGCATAGATTTGGTCGAGTTGCAGCCGAATTAGAGAGGGAAAGTGGTTGTGGAGGATTGTATCGGCCGCGGAAGTTGAGGTAAGTGTTTGATTTAACCCAAGCTTAAGGAATAGGAGTCGAGTCTTGTTTGCTAATTGCTAAATGATCGAGTACGATGTATAGGCATGGTGACGAGTTCCTATACATTGGGGTCTAGCACGACCGTGAGTCCTTATATGTGAGTTATTTAGATATTGTTATGCCTTCCATGTTATTAATGGCTTCTATACGTGGTAAACACATTGTGAAAGACATTGTGATTGTAGAACTTCGTGGAGCATTGGCTCGGTCTGATATGCAAATGGCGAGGGTATGTGGAATGAGAAATGCCTTAGAGCTTGACACGAGTGCTAATGAGAGTTAGGATATGGAAATGAAAGAAAAAGAGAAATAACGATTTACTCTTGCATGGTTGTTATTGGTTGTTTGTGTACCCCTGTTGGAATATCCTTCCAATTACTTGTTCACTCCTTTGCCCTTTATTTGTGACTGTCGCTTGGGCATGGTTGAGAGGTATACATTACGGATCGGGTTGCGCGCCGCAATAATGTTATATGAGGATCGGGTTGCATGCCGCAACAGTGATAATTGTGGATCGGGTTGCACGCCGCAACAGTGATAATTGTGGATCGGGTTCCACGCCGCAAAAATGATAATTGTGGATCGGGTTGCACGCCGCAATAGTGATAATTGTGGATCGGGTTGCACGCCGCAACAGTTATTGATGAAAATGTGCTTAGTGTTGGTATTAGTTTCTTGTTCGCTTTAAAATTGTAAATTGCACCAAGATTGATTACTTCGGATTTACTGGTAATCTTGTTATCTCCCCACAGCATGTTTCCCCTCCCATACTGTTAGTTGCCTTGTACTTCGACTTTCGTTGTATATTTATAATTGCACAGGTTTATGTGGGGTCTAGTCTAGCCTCGTCACAACTTCGCCGGGGTTAGGCTAGGCACTTACCAGCACATGGGGTCGGTTGTGCTGATGCTACACTCTGTGCATTTTTGCACAGGTCCAGGTATTGAGCAGCCGCAGCAGCATTAGCACGGGGGCGAACCTTCAGACCAGAGAGACCTGAGGTAGCTTGCAGGCGTCCGCAGGCCCGGCGTCTCCCTTCTATCTTTACATTTGGCTGTCATCTCATTGTACCCGAGATAAACAGATTGTGGTTCTTTCAGACTTTGTATGTAGTACTCCCTAGATGTTCGTGAGTATGTGACTCTGGTCCCGGGGTAGAGACGTATGTTGGAAATTTCTGTATTTCATTCAGTTATAAAAATTTAAGACTTCCGCTAGTGTTTTTAATTCCGTCGCCTTTATTTAATGCCGTTAATTGTAAAAGGAACATATATTTAATGAATTTGTTAATTAAGTTGGCTTGCCTAGCTCCCATTAGTGTGCGCCATCACGACCCTCGAGGGTGGGAAATCAGGGTCGTGACAAGTTGGTATCAGAGCTCTAGGTTGCATAGGTCCCACAACTCACGGACAAGCTTAGTAGAGTCTAAGGGATCGGTACGGAGACGTCTGTACTTATCCCCCAGAGGCTGCCAAGTTAGGAAAAACCTCTCCTTTGTTCTTTCTTGTCGTGCGGTTTGGTTTCTCAATGCTAATTGAACTTCTACTCTGTTTCCTCGCAGAATGGCGAGAACACGCGCTTCCTCATCTTTAGACCAGCAGCCCGAGCCCCAGGCAGCTCCTGCTAGGGGCAGAGGACGAGGCCGTGCTAGAGGCCGAGGTAGGGGCAGAGCTCAGCCCCGAGCAGCAGCACCAGCAGTGGAGCCCCAGGCCGGTTTTGACGAGGAGGTTCCGGCCCCAGTCCCAGCAGTGCCAGTGGGCCCAGCTCAGGTCCCAGAGGGGTTTATACCCACCCCAGTTCTTTAGGACGCTTTGGTCAGATTGGTAGGCTTTGTGGATAGCGTCACTAGAGCGGGTTTGCTTCCAGTAGCACCAGCCACTTCTCAGGCTGGAAGAGGAGCTCAGACTCCTGCTACACGTACTCCGGAGCAGGTAGCTCCCCAAGCTTAGGTTCCAGTGGTTTAGCCAGCTGTGGCAGCTCAGCCGGGTATTTTGACTCAGACCGGCGATGGAGCGGCTATGTCCGCAGATGCTTTGTAGAGACTGGATAGGTTCACCAAGCTCTTCACCACCACATTCAGCGGTGCTTCTTCAGAGAACCCCCAGGATTTCTTGTATAGCTGCCATGAGGTTTTTCGGACTATGGGTATTGTGGAGACCAATGGGGTCGACTTTGCCACTTTTCATCTAGCAGGATCCGCCAAGACTTGGTGGAGGGATTTCTGTTTGGCCAGACCAGCGGGGTCGCCAGCATTGACATGGGATTAGTTTGCAGAGTTGTTTTTGGAGAAGTTTCTCCCAGTTACTCAGCGAGAGGCTCTTCGCAGGCAGTTCGAGCGTCTCCAGCAGGGCTCTATGACAGTCACTCAGTATGAGACCCGGTTTATCGATCTTGCTCGCCATATTATTGTTATACTCCCCACTGAGAGGGAGAGGGTGAGGAGATTTATTGATGGTTTGATTCAACCAATTCGTCTCCAGATGGCCAGGGAGACTGGTAGTGAGATCAGCTTTCAGGAGGCGGCCAATGTGGCCCGCCGAGTTGAGATGGTTCTGGCACAGGGGGGTAGCCATAGAGCAGACAAGAGACCCCGTCACTAACATCGTTTTAGTGGTGCCTCATCTGGAGGCAGGGATTCTCATGATAGGGGTCAGCCCTCCAGGCCTTTCCAGTCAGCCCTCCAGGTTTCTCGGGGTGCCCCAGGTGATCGTGGTTACCGTGGGCATTATTCTGATCAGCAGACCCTTAGTGTACCGTCAGCTCCCATCAGCGCACCGCCACTTCAGAGTTTCCGTGGAGGTCATTCAGGTCGCCAGGGCCAGCTACAGCGTTCAGAGGGGTGTTATGAGTGTGGCGAGTATGGTCACATCAGAAGAGCTTGCCCGAGAGTGAGGGGTACTCAGTCGCAGCAGCAGGGTCCCCGTCCTATGATTCAGGCACCGGATGCTCCACAGCCAGCTAGAGGTGGAGGTAGAGGCCATAGAGGTAGAGCTCAGACCGCTAGGGGCGGAGGTCGGCTAGCAGCGGATCGACCTAGGGATTCAGTTCAGGGTGATGGGGCCCAGCCCTGTTGCTATGCACTCCAGGCTAGGCCCGAGGCAGAGGCCTCAGATGCGGTGATTACAGGTACGGTTTTGGTTTTTGATCGAGATGCTTCAGTACTATTTGATCCAGGATCTACGTATTCATATGTTTCATCTTATTTCGCACCATGCTTGGTCATGCCTAGTAATGCCTTGGGTATTCCGGTATATGTGTCTACACCGGTGGGTGACTCTATCGTGGTCGACCGAGTCCATCGTTCGTGTGTTGTAGTGATTGGGGGTCTTGAGACCCGTGTAGACTTGTTGCTCTTAGATATGGTTGACTTTGATATCATTCTGGGTATGGATTAGTTATCACCCTATCACGCTATCTTGGACTGCCATGCCAAGACCGTGACTTTAGCCTTACCGGGTATGACTCGCTTAGAGTAGAGGGGGACTCCAGGTCATTCTACCCGTAGTGTCATATCGTGCGTGAAGGCTCGACGTATGGTCAAGAAGGGGTGTCTGGCCTATTTGGCCTATGTTCGTGATTCCAGTGCTGAGGTCCCTCCCATAGATTCTGTGCCTATTGTCCGGGAGTTTCCCGATGTTTTTCCTTCGGACCTGCCAGGTATGCCGCCCGATAGAGATATCGATTTCTGTATTGATTTGGTTCCAAGCACCCAGCCCATTTCTATCTGCCATATCGTATGGCCCCGCCGGAGCTGAAGGAGTTAAAGGACCAATTGCAGGATCTGTTAGATAAGGGTTTCATTAGACCCAGTGTTTCGCCTTGGGGCGCGCCAGTGTTATTCGTCAAGAAGAAGGATAGTTCGATGCGGATGTGTATAGATTACCGGCAATTGAACAAGGTAACAATTAAGAATAAGTATCCACTGCCGAGGATTGATGATTTGTTCGACCAGCTTCAGGGTGCCAGGGTATTTTCCAAGATTGAGTTGAGATCTGGCTACCACCAGTTGAGGATTAGGGCATCCGATGTCCCTAAGACAGCTTTCCGTACTCGGTACGGGCATTACGAGTTCTTGGTCATGTCGTTTGGGTTGACCAATGCCCCAGCAGCATTTATGGAGTTGATGAACCGAGTATTCAGGCCATATTTGGATAGGTTCGTGATAGTCTTTATTGATGATATTTTGGTGTACTCCCGCAGCCAGGAGGAGCACGAGCAGCACCTTAGAGTGGCTCTTCAGACTCTGAGGGATAGTCAGTTATATGCCAAGTTCTCCAAGTGTGAGTTCTGGCTGAGTTCAGTAGTATTTTTGGGTCACGTTGTATCAGCTGAGGGTATTCAGGTGGATCCGAAGAAGATAGAGGCAGTCAAGAACTGGCCTAGACCAGCATCAGCTACGGCGATTCGGAGTTTCTTGGGGTTAGCAAGCTATTACCGTCGGTTTGTGGTGGGGTTTTCATCTATTGCAGCCCCGATGACCAGGTTGACCCAGAAAGGGGCCCAATTCAGATGGTCGGAGGAGTGTGAGGCGAGTTTTCAGAAGCTCAAGACAGCCCTGACTACGGCACCGGTGTTGGTCTTGCCCACAGGATCTGGGCCTTATACCGTCTATTGTGATGCTTCCTGTATTGGACTTGGTGCAGTATTGATGCAGGATGGCAAGGTTATAGCCTATGCTTCGAGGCAGTTGAAGATTCATGAGAAAAACTATTCAGTGTATGATTTAGAGTTGGCAGCTATTGTCCACGCCTTGAAGATTTGGAGGCATTATTTGTATGGCGTGGCATGTGAGGTGTTCACTGACCACAAGAGTCTTCAGTACTTGTTCAAGCAGAAGGAGTTGAATTTGAGGCAGAGGAGGTGGTTGGAGTTGTTGAAGGATTATGATGTCACTATTTTATATCATCCGGGGAAGGTCAATGTGGTGGCCGATGCGTTGAGTAGGAAGTCAGCCAGTATGGGCAGTCTTGCTTATGTTCCAGTCAGTCAGAGGCCGCTTGCTTTGGACGTTCAGGCTTTAGCCAATCAGTTCGTGAGACTGGATGTTTCTGAACCCAGTCGTGTGTTAGCTTGCACGGTTGCTCGTTCTTCGTTATTGGAGCGTATCCGTGATCGGCAGTTTGATGATCCCCATTTATGTGTCATTAGAGACACGGTGTAGCGAGAAGGTGCCAAGCAGGTTACCTTAGGTGATGATGGTGTTTTGAGATTGCAGGGGCGAGTTTGTGTGCCCAATGTCGATGGGATCCGAGAGTTGATTTTAGAGGAGGCCCATAGCTCCAGGTACTCCCTTCACCCGGGCGCCGCAAAGATGTATCAGGACTTGCAGCAGCATTATTGGTGGCGTAGGATGAAGAAAGATATCGTAGCATATGTGGCTCGTTGTTTGAATTATCAGCAGGTTAAGTACGAGCATCAGAGGCCTGGTGGTTTAAATCAGAGGATTGAGCTTCCCGAGTGGAAATGGGAGCGGATTACTATGGACTTTGTTACTGGACTTCCGTTGACCCGGAGGAAGTTTGATGCGATATGGGTTATTATTGATAGGCTGACCAAGTCAGCGCATTTCATTCCTGTGGCAGTCTCCTATTCTTCTGAGAGGTTCGCTGAGATCTATATTCGGGAGATTGTTCGCCTTCATGGTGTGCCCGTGTCTATCATTTCGGACCGGGGTACGCAGTTTACCTCACGCTTCTGGAGAGCAGTTCAGCGAGAGTTGGGCACAAGGGTAGACTTGAGCACAGCATTTCATCCCCAGACGGACGGTCAGTCCGAGCGGACTATTCAGATTTTGGAGGATATGCTCCGAGCTTGTGTTATTGATTTTGGAGGTTCGTGGGATCAGTTTCTTGCCATTGGCGGAGTTTGCTTACAACAACAGCTACCAGTCGAGCATCCAGATGGCTCCTTACGAGGCTTTATATGGTAGGCGATGTCGGTCTCCGGTGGGATGGTTTGAGCCGGGAGAGGCTCGATTGATAGGTACGGATTTAGTTCAGGAGGCCTTGGATAAGGTCAAGATCATTCAGGAAAGGCTTCGTTCAACTCAGTCTAGGCAGAAGAGTTATGCAGACCGTAAGGTTCGAGATGTAGCTTTCATGGTTGGTGAACGGGTATTGCTCCGAGTGTCGCCTATGAAGGGCGTGATGAGATTTGGGAAGAAGGTCAAGCTTAGCCCTAGGTACATTGGCCCGTTTGAGATTCTTGATCGAGTGGGAGAGGTGGCTTATAGACTTGCGTTGCCGCCCAGCTTATCAGCCGTGCATCCAGTTTTCCATGTATCCATGCTTCGGAGGTATCACGGCGATCCTGCCCACGTGTTAGATTTCAGTTCTGTCCAGTTGGACAAGGACTTATCCTATGAGGAGGAGCCAGTAGCTATTCTGGACCGGCAGATTCGTCAGTTGAGATCCAAGAGTTTTCCTTCTGTTCGTGTTCAGTGGAGAGGTCAGCCTCCTGTGGCATCGACCTGGGAGTCCGAGTTCGATATGCGGAGCCGTTATCCCCATCTTTTCCCCGACTCAGGTACTTCTTTGTATTGTCCGTTCGAGGACGAACGGTTGTTTTAGAGGTGGAGAATGTGACGACCCAAAGGGGTCGTCACCTGTATTCCTACTTCCTTTGTACTTCTGAGGCCGTGAAAACCTCATTTGGGGTTGCCTCGAGTTGTGTGCGCAGTCCGAGCGCATAGCCGGAAAAGTTTAAATATGAATTTGTGAGAAAAATAATAAATTCTGATGTTTTAATTGATTAAGTTTGACTTCGGTCAATATTTTGGGCAAACGGACCCGGACTCGTGATTCGACAGTCCCGGAGGGTCCGTAGGAAAATACGAGACTTAGGGGTGTGCCCGGAATCAAATTTCGAGGTCCCGAGTCCGAGGAATGAATTTTTGTGTAAAATTATTTTCTGATAATAATTAAAGAATTGGAAAGTGTTATTTGTTTAGAAGACTGTGTTGTTGGGCTCGTATTTTGGTTCGGATGCCCGGCACAAGTCTTAAAAATGAGTTAAGCAATGCTGTGAAGTTCGGTTAGATTTGGACGTCATTTGACGTGTTTTGAGCTAGAAGCACTAAATTTGATGTTTCATGGAAATTAGAAGGAAATCCTGGGTCTTGAGGCCTAATTTGATGATTATGATGTTGTTTGGGCGATATGATCGCACGGATGAGTCCGTAGGATATTTTTGAGTTTATATGCATGTTCGGTTTGGAGGCCCGAGGGCTCGGGTGAGTTTTGAGTAGGTCCCGGGAGGTCTTAGGCTAGAAATATTAGATGGTTGCAGGTCCAGGTGTTGCAGGCCCCCAGCGCCCGCGGTCATTTCCGCGCGGTCCGCGCTGGAAGCCGCGCGGCCGCGGTGCGTTCTTGCGCGGTCCGCGTGGCTAGGTTCAGAGGGCCAGTGAAGTCTAGGTCGACCAGCGCGGCCGCGCACCAAATCAGTGCGGTCCGCGCTGGGTAGGTTCAGAGAGTCATTTTTCTTCCCTTCCTCGGCGCGGCCGCGGTGCATTTTTGTGCGGTCCGCGCCAGTCTTCAGTACAGTATATAAATTCGGGATTTTCAGTCATTTTTCACTTTTTCAAAACCTAAAACATAAGAGGCGATTTTCCAAACGATTCCACTTCTTCAAAACGATTGGTAAGTGTTTTCTGACTGATTTTCTTTACTCCTTAACATCCTTAAACATAATTTCAACTTCAAAACAAAGATTTTAATGGGAAAATTGGGAACTTAGGGTAGAACCTAGGTTTTCTAAAATTGGGGGTTTTGGACCTCAATTCGGGGTCCGATTCCAAAATAACTTACATATTTGAGTTCATGAGGGAATGGGTAAACGGGTTTTGGTTCGAACCTCGGGTTTTGACCATGTGGGCCCGGGGACATTTTTGACCTTTTGGGGGTAAATTGATGAAAAAGCTATAATTAGTCATTGGGTTTGATTTGTTTAGCACATATTGATATCATGAAGTCCTTATTGCATAGATTTGGTCGAGTTGGAGCCGAATTAGAGAGGGAAAGCGGTTGTGGAGGATTGTACCGGCTGCAGAATTTGAGGTAAGTGTTTGATTTAACCCTAGCTTGAGGGAATAGGAGTCGAGTCTTGTTTGCTAATTGCGAAATGATCGAGTACGATGTATAGGCATGGTAACGAGTTCCTATATATTGGGGTTTAGCACGACCGTGAGTCCTTATATGTGAGTTGTTTGGATATTGTTATGCCTTCCATGTTATTAATGGCTTCTATACGTGGTAAACACCTTGTGAAAGACATTGTGATTGTAGAACTTCGTGGAGCATTGGCTCGGTCTGATATGCAAATGGCGAGGGTATGTGGAATGAGAAATGCCTTAGAGCTTGACACGAGTGCTAATGAGAGTTAGGATATGGAAATGAAAGAAAAAGAGAAATAACGATTTACTCTTGCATGGTTGTTATTGGTTGTTTGTGTACCCTTGTTGGAATATCCTTCCAATTACTTGTTCACTCCTTTGCCCTTTATTTGTGACTGTTGCTTGGGCAAAGTTGAGAGGTATACATTACGGATCGGGTTGCGCGCCGCAACAATGTTATATGAGGATCGGGTTGCACGCCGCAACAGTGATAATTGTGGATCGGGTTGCACGCCGCAATAGTGATAATTGTGGATCGGGTTGCACGCGCAACAGTGATAATTGTGGATCAGGTTCCACGCCGCAACAGTGATAATTGTGGATCAGGTTGCACGCCGCAATAGTTATTGATGCAAATGTGTTTAGTGTTGGTATTAGTTTCTTGTTCGCTTTAAAATTGTAAATTGCACCTAGATTGATTACTTCGGATTTACTGTTATTCTTGTTATCTCCCCACATCATGTTTCCCCTTCCATACTATTAGTTGCCTTGTACTTCGACTTTCGTTGTATATTTATAATTGCACAGGTTTATGTGGGGTCCAGTCTAGCCTCGTCACTACTTCGCCAGGGTTAGGCTAGGCACTTACCAGCACATGAGGTCGGTTGTGCTGATGCTACACTATGTGCATTTTTGCACAGGTCCAGGTATTGAGTAGCCGCAGCAGCATTAGCACGGAGGCGAACCTTCAGTCCAGAGAGACTCGAGGTAGCTTGCAGGCGTCCGCAGGCCCGGCGTCTCCCTTCTATCTTTACATTTGGCTGTCATCTCATTGTACCCGAGATAAACAGATTGTGTTTCTTTCAGACTTTGTATGTAGTACTCCCTAGATGTTCGTGAGTATGTGACTCCAGTCCCGAAGTAGAGACGTATGTTGGAAATTTCTGTATTTCATTCAGTTATAAAAATTTAAGACTTCCGCTAGTGTTTTTAATTTCGTCGCCTTTATTTAATGCCGTTAATTGTTAAAAAGGAACATGTGTTTAATGAATTTGTTAATTAAGTTGGCTTGCCTAGCTCCCATTAGTAGGCGCCATCACGACCCTCGAGGGTGGAAAATCCGGGTCGTGACAACATAAGTCAACATACGATCAACCTTTTCAACTTAAGCTTCCAAACTTGAGACTAAGTGTCTCAACTCATTCTGAAACATCCCCATAACTAACCCAATTACCCCGGCAAGTCACATAACGAAAATTTAGCATAGAATAAGTAGTAAATGGGGGAACGGGGCTACAACACTCAAAATGACCGGCCGGGTTGTTACAGTAATATTGTAGTGAGGTGTTTAAAATAAAGAGTGTTATTTCTTTCGAAGTTGTAGTAGTCTTTTGACACTACTAAGTTGTAATGTTATGGTGGTAATATTGCTCCACTCGGGTTTACCCCGTTAAAAAAATTGACGTCTTTATTACTCTCTTGTGTTAATACTATTATTTAATTTATCGTGGATATTATTCCTGGACGGGATATTATTTTTCCCAACATAAAATGCCTTGGGTTCTCGAGTCGGTCAATGTTCACCATCACTTATTTAAGATGTTCACTGTCTGATTTGTTCACTGTCTGATTTAAGATTGACTCGAGTGAAACTTGTGCTGCTACTTCACACAGTCTTTAAAAACTAAATCAACTGGCCGTCGATCATAAAAAAGAAAAAGCAAAAAGGAATAACAATAAAATAAAAGAGAAAAGAAAGTGCAATAGCTGAAGCAAGACTATTATGTCATGGAAGAATGTAATTTTCCCTGTATATGGCACATTTGTACAAGTGATTTAAACGACTGATTCGTCTCAAAGATTACAACAATTGTGAAATCACTCTTTTAAGTGTTGATAATTGGATTATAAATTTAATATTTGTATATATTTAATGAGTTTGTTAACATATATACATTTTTTGAGCAAAAGTTATCGAGTTCGGCCAAATCCGTATTGGACTTCTGCCTCCACCCCTGCTGTTCATCTCACCGGAACAACTAATGACACATGTTCCAAACTCACACAATACGATGGAATCTTAGTTAATCCTTAAATTCTTATAAGGCTTGACAGAATATGTAACAGTTCATTCCACTAGTGAATTATTCGTTTTAGGTCTAGGCCCGTATGATTTTAAAACGTATTATTAGGATCTAAGGCCTGTTTACTTATATACCCATCATCTCTCCCGTATTTTATCGACATAGAATTTTCCTAGGAGTCACAAAATACTATTAATTTAAGTTATATATTATTTACACTAATACTATAAATATTATACACTATGGTTGCAATTTAACCAACTACGGCTAATCATAATAACTTAGATTAGCAATAAGGGTTGTGGTGGAGTGGTAAGTACCCCTTCATCCTTAACCAGAGGTCTCGAGTTCGAGCCCCTGGGTATGGCGACGTCTTTGTTAGGGAGCAAGGGTGTGATGGAGGAGTAGAGGTGACTGGAGATGAAGAGGAAACCAGTATGGGTACAGTAGTATCAGGAATAGTGAAGAAGTGGGTTTGTGGTGGTGNTCCCAATGTGGGACTTCCCCTCACGAATCTGCATTAGTTGGACCCCAATATGGGTACCGAATACGGGGTGAGAAATAAAAAAAAATCATAACTTGGATTACTGAATTAGCGAAATAAGAAGAGTTATCTATTGTTGCACGTAAACTTTACCTGTAAAAATTATATACTCCACAAAACAGTGAAGTAGGTGCTCCATGATGAAAGGTACAATATTTCAAGTGCTCATCAAAAGTGGGAAACAATTGATGACATATAATCTTGATCCCCTTTTATTGGTAAACACAGTCATGTAGGAAAAGTTCTGGACCACAACAACCTATTCTTTTGAAAAGTATAAAAGAAAAATGTTGAGTAAGTCATTGTGAAGCAAATTGCTAAAGTGTTTATTCTTAGTGCTTTGATGCCAGGATAGGCATTTTGGTGGTCCAATGACTCATATTTTGGTAATATTGATTCATTTTGTTAGAGAGTTGTAAACTATATGATGATATGCTTGGACATAAAAGGTCTTTTACTAGATATGTTCACCTTTGGGTGAAAAAGAAGAAAACAACTTTCGCCATCAATATGACTCCAACTTACTAGAGAATGTTACATAAATAATTTCACACACACACACACAGTGACATGGGTGCACAAAGTCAAACAGTGATGTTTGAGAACTTGGTACAACATAGTATCAGCTGTTATATAATATAAAAATGTATTTTGTAATGATGCAGCTTAATATTATTTAATATTAATCCATTTTAGTAACAAAGAAAAAAAGTATAAGCTGTTAGTGGTGATATTTCAAAAGAATAAGAGTTTTGGTGATCTTTTTTCAACTCGATCTCATATCGAATTTCAAATTGAAAGCACTATCTTTCAAATTCTAATTTTCTCCAAATATTTTCCTTTTCACGAAACAGTAGACAATAGTTTGATATATACTTGGAACCAATTAGGTCTAAAGAGAAATTAAGGGGGTGAAAAATAAAAAAGGCTCTTTTTGTGTTTTAAGGAAAATAAAGCACAAACTGTAATAAACATGTTCTTTAATTGCATGCAACTTGTTTTTTTTTTAAAAAAAAAGACTAAGATATCTTAGCATTGTAAGATCGTGATCATTTAATCGAAAAACTTAAGCGGTTAGAGATAACACACTTTTATTTGTTTAATTATATTTTTACAGCATACACGCCAAAGAAAACAAGTCCTTTTCTAGTAGAGGCGGATCTAGGATTTTGTGAATAGGGGTGCACCACTAAAAAAATAAAAAAAAGGGTATTAGGTGGGAATTGATCCATGTTCCTCAAAGTGAATAACTCAATATTCAACCAAGTGCACCATTTAGTCTTTGAAGCATTGGTGCCAACACATAATATTAGACAAATTCTAAGAAGTATGTACGTAAAATACCTAATTTGATGAAAAGATCATGGGTTCACGTGCCCCGTGATTTGGGCTATACATCCGCCGCTGTTTTCTAGTGACCTTAAAATTTGAAGTTATATATCCTAACCAACTGTAAACGATATTTACGCTATTAAAACTCTTTGATGTATTGGACAAAAAGACGTATACACTACTTATTTTAACAAAAAGTAAATAACTATTAACTCGTGTTTTTCACGATGATTTTTAAATTTCATATGAAGAATCAGACAAAGAGAGAGAGGGGAATAAAAATTACCCCCATAAATTGTTTATACAAAATTAATAAATATATGATACATGTCTTCACAAACATGATTATTACTAAACTTACCTTAATTTAATTATCATTTAACCGTGATAAGATATATGATTTGCATATGTGCGAATAAGTTTTTACCGTGGGAGGGGCGTAATTAAGAAGCAGGAATCCAAGTCATATATATATATCGTCCGACCAAAAGTAAGACCTAACAGACTAACACTAACATGTCAAAAGGTTTTAAAGGTTTTAGGTTTTTGCTTGTCCTAAAATGAAAGGTCCAAATTCTGGTTATGATGTTATAGGACATGATTCGAATGAAGTATAGGAAATAGAAGTAACCAAAATAGAATGGATACACATTTTCTAAATGTGGTACATCTGCAGCATTTAAAATGTCCCATTGACAAGACTTTAGAGGAAGTTTACAATGAACATAAGTACTCAAGATAAGACCCTTCATCAAGCTACAAGACATAAATAACTTCACTGCCTTTGTTACCTTATAATATAATTCAGTAAAAAGTTAATTTTTCCATATTTGGATTTCAAATTGTAATCGAAGCTTATATGCCATATTAGTACTTGAAATTTGTATGTATTATTTCTAATAACAAGTGGTAATCGGTAAAAAAGAAAAGGTGGTAATTGGTAATGAAATGATTTTTATTTTTTATTTTTTTAGTTAACTTTGTCATCCAAGCTTTCACCTTCGGTTGTGGTGGAGGGTTTGACTTATGAAATTATTTGAAGCTTTGTGAGTGGAAGAAAAAGTTTCACCCAAAACTGCTCCCTAAATCATTTTTGGGAACTTGAAAAAAATAATTCAATTAACTGATCATATTTTATGAACAAACAATGTTTTCAATCCTTTTTTTTTTTTTTGGAAAAAACAGCCAAAATCTATGGCCAATCTGCCCTTTTAAATTTCATTTTTAACATGTTTAGACAAAGCATGAATCATGAACATGTTCACTAATCTGTTTACTTAAAGATGTTGATGTTTTCCAACTACATTTATGGATTCTTATACCAACTTAATCATATTTCAACATTTAGCAAAGAAAGTTTTAGTTTTTTTTATAGTTTCTCTTATTTCAACATTTACAAACATTTTTGTGCTGACCACTTGTTGCTATCTTTGATATAATTCTTGACATATTATATCACAATGTAACTTAACATGATTTCAATGGGATATATAGCATTCAACGATCAAATTTAACGAACAAGACATATGGAAACCTCTCTAAATTCCTCTCATTAGAGAAAGAATATTGATAGAGGTAGACAATAAAGGAACTTAGTTTTTCAACTTGCATAATATATAAGTGAAATACAACAAAAATTAGAAAGGCTGTAAAATATAGTTTTATGTCCACACTCCGTAGAACAACTTGAGGTCACACTCTTGTCCTCAATTCAACACACAGCTTGTAGAAACTCTCCATAAACTGAAGAAGATCTTTATTTCTTTAGCAAAGAGCTCTATGATTTGGACAATTTTCTGCTCCCTGAAAATAGTAAAGGAAGAAAATGAAACCCCTTAAGGAAATGTTGCAAACTAAGAAAACGATATATATGTAACATAAAACTTATTGTGGCACGCGTAATCTAAAAATGAAACAAATAATCTGTTATACAACAATAACAACAACAACACCGCAATCCTGAACAAGTTGAGTATAAATACCTTGTTATAATTAGTTAAAAACCCCAAGGGTTTTAAAAAATTTATATTGTCTAATAGTAGTACTAAAATTTATGCACATGAATGTTTAAGGGAGGCAATATATATATATATATATATATAGCTTGAGTAATAGGTGCATTACCACAAGAAAGTTTGGCTTGATTGTTGCTCTCCAACATGAGTCCAAAGTGAATGTGAGGGAAATGTGCCCACTACACCACAAAAAAGCTAATTAGTCATCAGCCAACTCTTCAAAAAATTAGAGTTTAACTATTCTATATATACACAATAATAGAACTTTGAATTATCAGATCATCTAAAAAATAATTGTAATCATAAAAAAGTGTAATTAGTAACTTAGAAAATAAAAATAAAAAATTAGCTGCTACAACAGGTTAAAATTTATTAACAGTTAAAAATTCATAACACGGTTAGTGTATATAGGTTAAATCCAGAAAAATATAACAAAAAAACTTTGAGTTTAAATTCTCTAAGTGTATAATACACTTACACTATCAGCTTAAGTTACTTGTAATAACATGTGTTTTCTAATAGCAAACATGTTCTTGTAATTTGAAAAACAGAATAAATAACATGCTATAACAAATTAAAATACATTGATAATATAAACATTCTCCACATTGTAACTTTTTTTCGCGTTAGTGTATGCAACTTAAATCGAAAAATTATAAGCAAAAAGTGGAGGAAGTAAAATTAAAGTAATAAAGTAATGTTTCAAGAATCTAAGGGTAAAAGAGTTACATTTTTGGCAGCAGTACTAAATGCTTCCCTGTGACTGATATCTGGATTATTAGCCTTGATCCTCTGAATCTCTTCTCTGTACATTTAGGCATTTTGTGACAAAAAGAAATTGATGTATAGTGGTTAGGTTAATTTTCCACAGCTTCAATAAAGATATCTCTACATATATTCAAGTCATCAGTGTTACAGCTGCCTTACTTTATGAACTGATTATATGCAGAAGGTACTCGCTGCCTCTTCTCGGGAGCTGTAAAAGAAAACACCAACAACCATTAATAACCCCCAATAAATAAATAAATAGTTAAAACAATATGAAGGGAATAAATATCCCAATTTAAAAAAAAAAAAGAATTTAATTACGTCGATTCACAATCCTCTCCTCGTGAGTGTTGTTTGTGATTGGTGTTCTCATTGTCATCCTGTTGTTGCATTTGGTTGATGAACCAAAATCCATTCTATACTCAGGAGCAGTGTAGTTTGGCACCTACAAAATTAAGTCAAACATATACATGGCTTTATAAAAACAAAGAGAAATGATATTGCTAATACATAGTACAAATTAATTGTCAAAAAAAAAGCTTAAACTTATGCTACTTATTTTTTATTGATTGGTGTCCTTTAATATTCTAGTATCAGTCTAATCACTCAACTATCAATTCTGTGAGTTATTCGCCCTCCTTCTTCTTCAGTTAGTGGCGAAGCCAAGAATTTTCTCAAGAGTGTTCAAACTTGAAAGAAGTGAAACAAATTCTTCGACAAAGAGTATTTAATATATGTTATATACATCTAAAACCTAATATTTTACCTACATACTCTGTCTTCGATAAAGCCAAACCCGGCTATTATATTGATTACCCTAAACATAAATTCAGAAGCTCTTACTAGATATGGCACTACAATTTTT